GCCTCGATTACACGACGGAGGTAGGTAGGCACCCGATGATATCGGAGTGCCTCCAAGATGCAGCTCCAGGGCAGGGAGTTGAAGGCGTTGGCGATGTCCAGAGACACCGCCACTACGACCTTACCCCTGGACAGCTACCAGGTGTCTAGGTAGCTGCTAGACATTCATGTTTAGGTTAGTAGGACCATGTGATTGCAGAAAAATGTTTCTCTATGGTAACACCCTTTATTTTGTACATGTTACTATGTACCCAATAATGACTGGTGGTAACACTGTCTAGATTGCACATTTGCTGCAATATGAAACATCATTATACAGTTACACTCTGATTTCCACGGCTACGTACTTTGATACTATCAATATAATACTTATGTACTTGGTATGGTATATCTGTTTTGACCATTTATTACGTAGGGAAAGTATGGTTTAAATTTTCGTACCGTCTACGTCTAATCAAATTGAAAACTCATACTAAATACATCCTTACAGAAATATCTAGATGGATCATTATAATTTATAGTAAGATCGCCAAATATGTAACCTCTACCTTTTCAATAACATGATTAGAATATCTTGAAAACGGTCACAATTTATTATCTAACATATCGGTACCTACCTAGATCACCATGAAAAACCCAAATCAACTAACCATTTTAAAATTTGACCTCTGTCATAAGTCTTATAGATAATTCCTGGTATTTTTTCTTTATTCAGAAGATTTTAAAGTTTAGTAACCTCCATTCATTGAATTACGTGATTATGAGAAGGGCTCCATCAAATTACAAACGTGGATATTGACAAACAATATTGTTCAGTTGAATATGACGTCAAATGGAACTGGCAAAATAAACGAAATAATGTAGAAGACGATCTCTGCAGCTAACGCAAAGTCGGAAGAATTCAGGGTATTGTATGCCGAATACTTAGAATAAAGAATCAGATACATAACATATGAAGGTAGAAGAGATAAGAGATGCCACACTTAACTTCAGTAGGTAATTGATACTAAATAGGTACCATGAAATTTTGAGTGTAGCTCTACGCCATGGTTCGGCACGAATGGGCCGGCTCGACCGAAACGATGCCACGGCCTCACAGAAAACCGACGTGAAACAACGCTTGCGTGGTCTTTCGTCGTGTGAGTGAGGTTCCCCCTCCCCCCTCCCCAGTGTCCCAAATCCACCATAATCCCCAATTCCCAAAAGGCCGGTAACACACTTGTAACGCCTCTGGTGTCCATGGGCAACGCCGATTGCTTACCATCAGGTGATCCGTCTGCTAGTTTACCGCCTTAGGTATACAATAAAAAAAAATTAAGAAGTGGAAGTCTAAAAAGTAATTGATTACTGCACAGAATAGTAGTTTAGTACTATTCTCACCTAACTACTTCAATTGTGGCTGATTTAAAGAAAAATCGTTCCTACGAATAATAACAATTTTTCCTTATACAGGAAAAGGTGAATTGAAAAATGTAACACTGAGATTTCCAGTGTCATTCTGCTAATTCTGCTAATTATTTGCCATTCTCACCTTAGTTCTAGCTTCTAAATATTTTTTATACGATCATAATTATAGAATAGAATACGTGAAGAGTTGCAAACGCGTTGCCGGCCTTTGGAAGAAGAGCTCCTTAAATGAGTCTGGTGTTTAAGTGCGGGAAAGTCATGCTTTGGCACATATAGTGATACCACAGCCTCACAGAAAACCGACGTGAAACAACGCTGGCGTTGTGTTTCGTCCGTGGATCCTTTTAAAAATATATTCATAGAGACTATCTTAGAAATAGATTACCTAGATAATAAATCCGTAACAATGAATCAATAAACAGCGAGGTCTTACTACTGTTACAAAAACTATCGGACTATTTCTTAACTAGCTTGCATCGTTACTAACACCAAGTAAGTACCCAACCTTCATAGTGTAGCAATATTGTTGTAAACATAGGTATATATACAACTATAGATAACTGCCACATTATTTCCAGGTTTCGTTATAAGTTGAGTTCATCTCAGTCACTGGTAATGACAAGTTAATAACAGAGAAAATGGCAATGACTGTCTAAGCACCTACCTACCTATCTACCTACCTACCTATCATTACCTCTTGACTCTCGGGTATGCAGGTAGAATCTCCCTATATACTAATACTAAAGAGGTTGTTTGTTTGAAAGCGCTAATCGCTGGAACTACTGCTCCGATTTGAATAAATCTTTTTTTTTGGATGGTGCATTTATCGGGGTTGACTATCATTATCACATATCACTACATAGTATAAACAAAGTAGCTATCCGCTGTCTCTCTGTCCCTATGTTTGCTTAGATCTTTAAAACTACGCAACGGATTATGATGCAGTTTTTTTAAATAGATATAATGATTTTTAAGGAAGGTTTATATGATAATGCATACGCATTGCACCCGTGCGAAGCTGAGACGGGTCGTTAGTTGGTTGTAAAATATCACGCTATTACCAATAGGAACCGACCAGTAAGTTAAACCGCGCGAGAGCAGTTAAGATAGTTACTTTACTTATAAAGTTATAAATAACTATTAGAAAACGTACTTGTGAAATGTTTTGTACCAAGCAAAGTACGCACTATAATGTAATTTGCCACTTACACGAAAATATTACTCAGTTGTCAGGTCAGGGAGGCAGTGATTTGTATTGTAACGTGAAGGGTAACTAAGACTGTTCACACTGTCGGACCGGTAGATTTGCCGGAAACCAGATCCCGAATAAGTATGTTCACTCACTCCACCGGATTCCACAAGAAAAACAGACATTAAACGCTACAGAGCGGACAAAGCGGAATTTAATTAAAAAAAAAGGTATTTTGCCACTATATAACAAGTCTTTCGGTAGTTACCGTACCGTCTGAATATACCAAAACAGCTTGGAGTCCAGTAGTTTTGTAATATCCATTATGCGCAAATTAAGATTCACATCAATAGCTAAAATATTATATTCATGAATGTCTTTAATATTATGCAATGCAAAAGTGTAAATTGGGAGTCCAATTACTATTCAGCGGTACAATTAAACATAAAAAATAAAGTTAATATTTACCTTTCCCAGCATAGTTTTGTGGGCAATAATTTTCTATATCCATCTCTTATGTATTGATTGTGTTTAATATATTCTGGTGCCTGTTCATATTTGAGGAGTTGTCGGTAATTGATATACTCCTCCTCCTCTTTGGTCAAGTTATTGTTGTCTTCCAATTTCTTCCCTCTTCGCAGAAGACCACTGGATTGACAGTAGCCTTCTGTTCTACATTCATCTTCTACCTTAAACAAATGAAGATGTTTAATTTAGGTAATATTGTTAGCTGCTACTTTTAATCTTACTAATATTATAAATGTGAAAGATTGTGTGTTTGTGTTAGCAGCGGAGGGCTTAACGGGTTGCAGGGGCTCCGGCACGAAGTGCAGGAGTAGGAATGAGGAAGTTTTTAGTCGGTAAGAATCTGACACTACCTCTCACCTCACCCGGACGGAGGCAGACAATGGATAATTTTCCCCTCTCAAAAAAAGGGTGTTTGTGTACATATGTTTGTTACTCAATTAAAACAGCTGAAGGGATCCAGATGAAATTCGAAACAGGGTTAAATTATGGTTGGGTGTAGCACATAGGTGGTTTATAAACCGGTACTGTGGGCGCAGCCACTGGCAGAAGCTAATAACAATATACCTAAGGTGTATTCATAAAGCACTATACTGATGTTTCTCTTGAATGCCAATTTTATAATCTTGACTATACCACTTACTTTTGGTAAGTCTTTTGGTAAAGGCTAGGCTAGTACAGGTTTGTAAAGTTTGATTATTATTATCAAAAATATTAGACAATTATTGATACAATAAATATTCATCACACACACACACACTTGAAATATTGTAAAGTACTATAGGTACTCAATTTTAATATGTATTTATATAAATTTGCAAATTATTCAATTGGTACTGTACTGACCAAAATCAATTGCTATTTAAATTTTTTTTTAATTTAAATTACTTACAAGTGTTTGACATATAAAATTTTTAATTCACCGAGTAATTATATCACACCCAAATATTTATGAGTTATCATTTATTTACTTATTACAACATTATACACAATATTATTTAAACACATTATTTTAATTAAGAAGCATGAAATAAAGACCCTCATTCTGAAACATTCTATACTCACAACAACATTTAAAACCCATTCGTATCAAAATAAATAATTATATGCCATACTAATGAAAACGATAGTGATTAAAAATTCTGACTACAAAACATTTTGGCTTGATTCTCAATAAATTTGGGTTTTTAGGGTAATGAAATCTCAATCTCCTCTAGTAAGTACCAACATAGCCTGGTCTTTTGCATGAACCCTCAAATAAAAAATAAAATATTTACTTACTTTTTCTATGGGCATAAATTGCACAGTTTCTGCTTGGCATTCGCTAAGTTTTTTTGTCATAGTTAGAGTCATTTTAGAATGTTGATCTTACAAAATCACATAAATAATATAACAATAATTTTTCTATACCCATATAATTATTTATATATCAAGGAAATAACAATGGTTATCCATTGTATATTTATCCGATACAAATGCACACACTTCTAATTAAAAATTTCGATAAAACTAGATAATAAACATAAGAATGCAACAACACTACCACCTCCTCATGCGATATTGACAAAACTACTTTTTTAAAAATGTTGCGTTCGTGTATTCCTGTGTGTCTACGTCACAACTTGGATTCTTGGCATGACTCTATCTAACCTACGTCAAGAACTTTCAAAGTCAAACTGACATTTGCATGACATTAACATCAAGATTTTTATGCTTTCTGATTGGTTAGTAAAACTTACTCGCCAATCAAAAATATGTAATCTACCTATGAATGACAGAGCAATAAAACGAACGTTTTAAGCGTTTCGTTTTATCTCATTATTTATAACATGTTTTAATATTTGTTAATTTATTATGTTTTACTCATTTTTATATTTTAATAAATTATCTATGAGTATATACATAAAGCTAAACAATGTTTATCGTTTTGTTATGTCATGAAAAGAAATAAAACATCACTAATTGTAAATACTTGGTGCACTCAAAGTAATTTGTAATTTATTTATTTATTTATCATTTTCTTCGTCTATCTTTGATGTTTTAATGATGTTCAAGATATTTATCGATATTATTCTATGGATTGATATATATCATAAAGTACGTAATTATTTATTATACAGTGCAATAGATAAAATGCAAAATGTCTAAAAATTAAATAATTATTCTAATTGGAATAATGAATATGCCAACTATAGATTATTTTCATTTAAAATCATGGTGTATATACTCTTTTTTGTATTTATCCTAATCAATATTTTCAATCAAAATTATATACGTCAAAATATGGAATCTTGAAACCTTAAAAAGCGTAAGTTATATCGCCAAGTATCGCATGTTAAACAAGGACGTTGAAAAAAGTACAAAACAATGAAATGTTTCCCAAACATCACAAACATAATTACATAAACTCTTTGAAGGAAACAAAAAATTCAAAGGAGATTAAAGATTTAAAAACTATAAAAAATAGTTGCCACATGAAAAATATTGTGTCTGTTGCAAAAGCAAAAGTACCTACCTACATTTTTGATATTTTATTTTTCAGCTATCAAGCCTATAGAAACCATAACTACCGAAAATAAAACGCAAACTACGAAAGTATCTTATAATTTTAAATAAATTACGTTTAAAAAATCCCCAATTTGTACCTCGAAGTCCTGATAATAAAGTTAGATAATATAATTGTACCTGCCCCTAAGTGTAATAAACACTTTTCTGAAAACCACATTAAAATGAGATCAGCCTATCGTAAGATAATTAAGGACAAACATACGGGTCAAATGAGAATCTCCTCCTTTTGAAGTCGAATAAAAAGAAAGTCTATTCTTGAAAGTAAAAAATATATTCAACGCAATGGTAAAAGAAAAAAAAAATAAATACCAAATTTGCTAAAATTATCAATTCTTATAAGAAAATATTAAATAATAACATTACTACATTTCAATTTCCATTTGATTTTGAGTTTTATCATGGTTTCAATTTTAATTGAAATTAACGGATGCCATTCTACCTGGGAAAGTTTCAAATTGCAAAAATGTGCTTTAAAATAGCTAGCGTGCCTACTTCAGTAATGAATATCTCCAAATAATCCAAAAATAGCGCCCCAGAGATTTCTTTACTGAGCAAGACGTCATATCCTACTGTTTTCAGTGTTACCATAAATAAATATTGTTTTAAAAAATCAATAATCGTAATAACTTCTATAAACAAAAAAATATATAAATTACTGCGCAGAATTTGTTTAGTTTGCTTATAAAAATAACGATACTTTCAAAATAACAAGTATTTTATCATAAATCTTTATTTGAATCCCATAGAAACATAACTAAATTAAAAAAACGTCTAACCATAAACGCCACTTACGAACCGTGCAATTCTGAACGGTCTTTGTAAATGGTCGATTTTCCTGTTTGCTGTTCTCCATTTGCTGAGAGTGTATAATTTTGTTACAATCCGTGCTCTGTTCTAGTTCTTATTTTTTCTTATTATAAGTTATTATTATTTTTTATTTAAGCGTTTAAAGTTTGATCCTCGATAGTAGAAATTCATTATTACTGCATAAAACGACTTAGGTGGTACTTTTGCGTTTAGACGGGAGCCATCTTGCAATCTCTAATCAAAGGTCCTTGGCTCACAGTTTCGTTGTCTAGTTGAAAGTCAGTTTATTCCATCATAAAATAATCAAATGGCGTTAAAACGAATTAATAGGGTACGTATTGGTATTTGTGATATATATTTCAATAATTTGATGCAGTATCAAATGAAGTGTTGTAAAAATGGTATCAGACTTCGTAGTGAATGTTTCGTCATTGTGAATACCTATTATCGAAATTTCTTCTGGATAATTCCTCGTGTGTGATGGTTTTATTGAAATTCTCAGATGTATTACTATTTTGTTTTGTGTGTAACTTTAACGAGATAACGGTGTTTTACTGGTAGATGTAGGTGACAATTTTGTGCACACGGCGTACATAAAATGTCGGAATTATGTGCCAATTTTGAGGTTTTCTTGTCATGAAAGCCACCTGTGTCGTGAAAATGTGGAACATTTAGGTGTTGTACGATGATTAGTGATAGAAACTACTTGGATCACAAATCGATGTTGCCGTACGGAACAATATGTTCAACCCCCATTTATTTTTCGACGTGATGATGTGACATGTTTTAGCCATGGTATTGTGTTTCCTATGTTATTGTGTCCACATGATATTGTTTTACTGTTCAGGAATTACAAGATCTGGGCAGAGATCCACCAGCACAATGTTCTGCAGGTCCACACGGTGAAGATCGTAAGTACCTTTTAATCTACAGCCTACTTATTTTTTGTGACTCATTGTGTTGGATAATAATAATACTGTGAAACAGTGTCATGGAAGCAGATCATTGGTTTTGAATAGATATCAGTATTGATTTTTTAGAAATGTTGTGGTGATCATTTTGAAAACTGTTTGATTATTTAATATGAAATGTTCTTAACATTGTACTTTATTGAGTTGAAAAACAAATATTCACTGACTTTCACATCATCAAAATGAAATACAAGTATCTTTGTAAACATACTGATCTTTTCAAAACATCATCTGTGAAAGTGGCAAAGCTATAGTTGATATGCCTGCAATATTCTTATATGAATAATATACAATTGCTATATGTGACTTCATTATAGTTATTCTATTATTAAATGATGTTACTTATATGTTACTGTGCTCAGAATTTCCTGACTCAGTCATATTTTATTCTTTGCAGAATGACTCATTTCCATGTAGACATTTTCCATAGCAAAATGCTACTGTACTGTGTGTACAGAGGATATTGAACTTCCAAACTATGAAAGAATCTTACTTGATCAAATAAGATCTTAATTGGAAACTAAAATACTAATTAGTCAATAATTTTTTTTTACTTAACTATTTGTAAATAGTAATATTTCTTTGTGTTGGACATTGCAGCTTGCATTGGCAAGTCGTGTCAATGACCTTGTTTAGTGGAATAACAATGATTTTAGTTTTTTATAACCTTCTATTGTAATAAAAAGATATTTTTAACTATCTTTAAATATACACATAATATTTTTTCTGATTTCAGTTTTCCATTGGCAAGCCACAATTATGGGTCCAGTAAGTATATTTCTTGATCTTTTTTAACTTGAAATGTGTTTCTTAAGTGAGTATGACTGAATTGTGTTATTTTATGTTTACAGGTCGACAGTCCTTATCAAGGAGGAGTATTCTTTCTGACCATACATTTCCCAACAGACTACCCATTCAAACCACCAAAAGTTGCATTCACAACACGTATTTACCATCCTAACATAAACAGTAATGGTTCCATTTGTCTTGATATTCTGCGCTCACAGTGGTCTCCAGCACTCACCATATCCAAAGGTAAATTTTTGCATATGTTACTTTATACTCAACCATTTTCATTCTTATTCTCTAAAATATTTGTTGTTGGTTAACATTTTAAGAAGACAAAAATTGATGAGTTTTGTTTTAACTTCCAGTGTTGCTTTCAATCTGCTCACTCCTATGCGATCCAAACCCAGATGACCCGTTGGTGCCAGAAATTGCTAGGATCTACAAAACGGACAGAGAAAAGTACAATGAACTAGCCCGTGAGTGGACGAGGAAATATGCCATGTGATGAGTCAATTGTGACGTCAGCAAACATACACACACATCGCCACAGCCCGGGCTCTAATCCCATTCCCTATCCCTTTATCCTGCTCCCTGATCCTTTGTTATCCCCATCAAACCTAAATTAACTGGAGATTGTAAAAATGTTCATGGTCATATTAGGACCTGCCTAATTTCTGTCGTATATTATGGTATTGCGAATATATTGCATCGTAAGTAACAGGTTCCCATGTGCAAATATAGTTTCTGTTTTATCTAATAAGAAACATTTTCTATAAGAGCAAAATTATTTTTTGTTTTACATTGATGTGTCAGTAGATATCTTTACACTTGTTTAGTTGAAGTTTAAAGGTTAGTTAAATTTACATCAATTGAATTTATGTAATTCCTAAACTATTTGTACTTTAACTAGATCTAAATTGCATTGTAAAACTGTACAATAGCCATATGTTAGGAAATGGAGCGTTCCTTGCTTACTACTTACTAATTGTCCGGTTCACTTAGGATTTTGTCAATGAAATGTAAGTAAAGCTCATAAGTGTTAAGAACATTTTGGGTAATGTAAGTAAGTGGTATCACAAAATGAGCTCGTTGACGGAGTGAGTGTTAATTTTTTTTACTAGAAAACAACTTTTTTTTAAGTTAGTAAATGTAGCGTGCTACAGACCAGACTGACGTTGATTGAAGTGGTCAGTTTTCTTTCATCCACAATATTTTATGACAATGGAAAACGCTCCAATAGTTACAACATTCAGTATAAATTACAGTGTATCTCATAAGATGATAAGTTACGATTAATCTAGATTTTTTTTCAATATGGCGATTTATATTATAATTTTATCTAATATATATTGTGGTTGTAAGGATACCTGCGTTGTGATTTCCACGAATGTCCTTTCCATTCAACCATCCTCGTTTCCTCTGAGTAATTGAACAAACTTACTGAAGTGAACGGCACGAGTGG